TAGTTTTCGGGTATGAACAATTAAATCACTCTGATAATTCATTGGCTCAATTTATACAAGATTTGGTAAAAATTGACGATGATTTCGGCGCGACGAGGAAAAGGGCGCGCGAGACAGCCAAAACCGCTACTGATCTAATCCGACAATATAATAAAATATATAGAGATTCAAAACTACGCAAATCAACCGTTTATAACGCCAGTGATTATGTATTAGGTGTACAAAAAAGTTCTGAGCTTTTTTTTGTAAAATTCAATCTTTATTCAAAAACAAACAAAAAAATATCAGCGAAATATTCCTCGTTTGCATCTACGATCTTTTGCCATCTTTCGGGTAGTTTGCGAATTCCTTGTTGATAGAAGCTCACCGATTTCGAAGCGATAAAGTCATCAATGCATTTTCATATCTCTTCAAATTTCACGAAATGTGTATCAGCCAAATGATGCTGCAGCGACCGGAATAGGTAGTAAGGCGCCATGTCTGGGCTATACGCCGCGTGCGGGAGAAGTTCCCAGCCTAACGCAAAGATATGGTCCTGAGTCGCTTTCGCAACATGTGGTCGAGCATTGTCATGAAGCAAGATCACTTTACGACGTCTTTGACCAGTAAATGGCTTCTTTTTTTCTAATGCATCGCTCAAATTGGTCAATTGTTGTTGGTAACAGTCTGCCGTGATTGTTTCACCCGGTTGTAACAATTCGTAATACAACACACCTTTCCAATCCCACCAGATACAGAGCAAAACTTTCTTGCGTGGATATTGGGTTTTGGCGTCGATGTCGAAGGTTGACCAGGGTCAACCCATGATTTTCTACGTTTAGGGTTATCATAAAGAATCCACTTTTCATCGCCTGTAATGATTTTGTGCAGAAAATCTTTTTTCCGAAACTTTGAAAGCAAAGTGAATGCAATGTCACGCCGACGATTTTTGTTGTCTTCGGACAATTCATGCGGAACCCATCTGCCTTCCTTCTGAACCTTTCCCATCGTATGTAAACGTACGGAAATGGTTTGCTGCGTAAGCTGTTCTGCAAGCTCCTTTTCAGTTTGCGTCCCGGATGGGCTACAACGATAATATTAGGGATAGTCGGGTTCGTTAAGCCTAAGGAGTTGGGACTCCGAACAGGATCAAAAGAATGTAAGGACCTTCTTGAATTCACTAACACACTTTCTTTATTTTAATTGGTTTATTTAATAAATGCACAAATGCTTGAGATTAGTATTTCTTATTTTATTACTTTACACACGGTTAAATGTCGGCGGGCGGCTCGGCGCGTATTGCGTTACTCTGGCGGCCGACGACCGAGTATGTCATTTGAGACACTGATAGTACGGCTCGCGTGAACTTCGCCGCGCTTTTGTAATATCTTGCACGATGTTTATAATAATGATTCCGAACGACACATTATTCTTGACTCTCTCGACTCCGCCTCGTATAACCGGTTATATAGTCTGATCGATACCCGATCAGCATTCTGATCGGTTGCGTCAATCGGTTGAGTGATATTGATTAATCAATATTACGCTCGGTTTGATCATCAAATTTAGGAATTTGCTGATAGGCTTTTCGCAATGTTCTCGCGTGATGCATTTCTGCGGTCTTTCGAAAGACTGGTCGCAATTTTGGCGGTCATACATTTGTGTCGTCTTTCGAAAGACTTTTTGAGATTCATGTGGCCTAATTTTGTTGCCATGCGGACTACTTTTATTTTGGTAGATCTGGCTACAACAAGAGTTTATATCCAGCAGTGCTTGCAATTCGTCCGTTTCAATCTTTTGAGGGCGTCCAGCACGCGGTTCATCTTCAAGACTAAAATCTCCTTGGCGAAATATAGTACGAAGTATAGTATAGTATACTGACTTATAGCGAAGTATAGTATAGTATACTGACTTACAGCGTTCTCTCCATATGCAGCACAAATCATTGCAGTGGCTTCAGCAGCATTTTTCTTCAGATGAAACGCGAAGTGGATGGAAAATCGAATATGCTCTTTTGTTATTGCCATCGTGAACACTACTGATTTTTGAGGTTATGTGCATCAAACGCCAAACCGTATGGCATTTTAGAAGGCCAAATGTCAACGCTTTAAAACCGCAAAAGGGCGGGAAGAAATATAAAATTTAAATTGTTATTTCGATTGTATGAAATCTAAAGCTCAAAACTTTTTTGTACACCTAATATTATAGTAGGTTCATTATTAAGATGAGTATTAAGATATGTATGTAATTATGAAATAAACTAATATAAACTAAAATTCATCTTTTTTATTTTAAACGTGTTAAAGTTATTATCAATAAAACGTCTAGAGAATGTAATAAAGAATGTCTAAAAGTTGTCTTATAAGACGTTCAAAAGACATCTAATAGGACGTCTAAAAAATGTCTTGTAAGACGTCCAAAAGTTGTTTTATAAGACGTCCAAAAATTGTCTTATCACACGTCCAAAAGTTGTCTTATCAAACATCCAAAAATTGTCTTATTAGACAAAGTTGTCTTATAAGATGTCTAAAATCGGGACACAAGATATCTTTTAGACGTCTTTCTGTATACCTTTTCGGACGTCTTTTAATCGTCTTTAAGACGTCATTAAGACGTCTTAATGTTTACTGGGGATTCCTTTACTATTTCTGTTCTCTTCTGTCCTAAGCGTTTTATATCTGGAAAACTATACTTTGCTATATTTTGTCGATTTCAATTCCGTAATTATTACAATGTCATATTCGTATATTCTTTTTTTCAGTTCCTCTTTATTTTGAAAACCTCTACAGTTCCACAGCAGCATTTTAAAATTAAATTTTAATTCTTAAGAATTTCTACTACTACTCTTTTTAAAATTTAATTAATTATCCTATATGTTTATTCTACAGGAACTGCTTGTAATTTTTATCGATGTATCGTTTTCCTTATACTTAAACTACTATTTGTACTTCTTGTAATCACAGCTTGTATTCAGCCTTATTTAAGTTTACCTAACTAACGACTAGAGTAACTAAAAACTAAAAAAAATTTCTTCCTATCAAATCAAATTACCAAGTCTGTTAAAACACATTATAACCTACGTCAGACTTGAACTAAATAAACTTTTCTTGTATAATCAGTAAAACTTAATCTTTGGAGATATCTATAAATGAAATTAGCCCGTTAGTTAATTAACTTCCAATAAAATAATAAAATAGTAAAATAAAATTAAACCAAAAATAACAACAAAAATAAAAATAAAGCTATAAACTAAAGATAGTCTATTACTATGTCTTTTTGTTTGACTTTGATTATCAATTTGTTCAATACAAATATACGTGTGTAGATATAGATTAGTGTATCTGTAATATCTAATCTCTATTGTCTTTCTTCGCATTGTCCCAGTAGTCTTGTCTGCTCCTTGCAGCAATTCTTCTTTCCTTGTATCTCTTTTCTTCTTCTTGTAATGTCTTGGTTTTCTCCTTGATATCCTTTTTGTGTGTAATTCTCTCAATCTTATCCATCCTTTGAGGTGTCTCCTCCATCGAGTCCCTTTCTTTATTTTTGGAGGACCTCCTCCATCAGTGATCTTAGTTTCCAATCATTGTCCATGGCAACTAAGAGAGCTATCAATTCCTTCTGCTTTTCTAAATCCTGATGAAGCTCTTTTCCTATTGAGATGCCTTCCCCTTTTTCTTTGTTACTCTCTTTTTCCAAGTTTTCTCGCTGTATTGCTATATTTCTTCTCTCTTTGTTGATGTCTTCTTCCCTCAAATTAAATTGACTATAATAGTCTATATTGCTGTTCCTGTGTTTATTTATTTCTTTATTTTTTACTCTATTTTCAACCTACAAGAAGCCCGAGTTATTGGGCGAATGGTAGGCGGAGCTCGCACTGCTTCCACCATCTTGTTCCCTTTCTCTTTTTTGTTCTCATTTTTGTCCTCTTTGAGCCAAAGTTTCCTTGTTTTTGTTCTCTTCTTATAGCCGAGTTATCCTTTTTCCTTTTTCTTTATTGTTGTTAATAGATGGTCAGTTTTCGGGTCTCGCACCTATCATACACTTGCTCAGGTTTATCTTCCTCCCCTTCTAAGATTTGTACTGCCTCTCTAAATGATACGTTGTGATGGTTTATATTGTTACATCCTGATTGTCCGTTTTTAGGTCAATACATTTAAGTACTTTACCCTGGGATTGGACCAGTTTGTGAATTAATCAACCCCGAATAGGAAACGAATTTTATAAATTTTGTATCGGGGATCCTTCTTATTAATTTGATTATAATTTGGATAATTTACCTCGAAATCAATTTTTCTTAATTTATATTTAGGAATTTGCTTAATTATTTTAGTTTTAGTTTGTCTTTCCAAATTTTTAAGTTTTAGGAACAATGAGAGGGGATTTTTATTTAAAATTATCATTTGATAACTGAAATCTTAATTTTTTAATTTTAACTTTGCGCCCTCCTCTTTTGGGAGGATGAATACGTTTGAAAATAATTATTTATTATTAAGATTCTAAATTCAAATTATTCAGTCGTAACATCATTGGCTGCGACTAAATGATACGCTACGCTATTGTTAGCGACCGGTTTTGGATTTAGAATTATGATCTTGATTTTAATTAAGAAGAATTTAAGATTTCAGTTTTCCCAATTATTTTAGTTTAAAATTACCTTTATTTAATCGAGGAGGCTTTTAAATTCTCCTAAAAGAAATATTATAGAAATTGATTATAAATTTAAGAATTTAACCCTAAGATTGATCACGCGCCACTGATTAATGTCACCGCCTAGTTAGTACTGAAGAAAGGCCGCCGTCGCTTTTTCCGTACGCATATTTATAGGTGGAAATGGTCAGAATCCCCGCACGAGCTTCTCACCACTTCCTTCGTTCAAACCCATAATTAAGAGGGGGAAGGTTCTTTCTCAGAGGTGTCATCTGAATTTTCGTTGGTAACAATCGAAGCCTGATACTGACAAGAATTCAATCAATAAATCAATATTTTATCATATTACGCGCATTCCTTCATTTAAAATTATAAGATGTAGATAGCACATGACAATATAGAGATGATTATATACAGATTCTGATTTCTTTCCTATGCATAGCATTTTTATTAGTTGATCTATGCTCTCCATTGCAGTTTCTGCATCTATCTTGCCTGTCGCACCTTCCATGGGCCTTTTCTCCACACACGATGCAACGCTCTTTGCTCTTGCAGTTATTTTTTCTGTGACCGAACCTTAAGCATTTAAAACATTGCACGATGGGCATAACGTACGGTCTCACCTTCATTGAGAATTGATCTCCAAAGAGATCCAATGAGGTTCTTGGTTGATTTCCTTTGAACATAATCACCACTTGGCCCACTAGTATCTCTATCTTCCTTTTATTGACGTCATCCCACTTTTTCCTTGTGAGTATTTCCATTCTCAAAATGTCCTCTAGGTGAATAATGCTATCGAAGAATTCCATCATATTTCCAGGATGCATCCTGGGAACAACTCCTTTATAAAATGTATTTCTTTCTTCTATTGAAGCCGCCATAAGACGCCTGTAATCGCCGAATCCTCGTTTATCCTGCTCATTGCTGAGTTAATCTTTGTAGCATTTAAAAATTGTATTAATGCAGATCTAAAATTAAGCATCATATTTTTATAAGACTTGATTCTCTTCTTTTTTAAGTTACTTAAAATCTTGAAAAAATTTATATCTTTCTTTATATAGTATTATGGCCATCCGCAATCCTTATTGTAACCTTAAAATTACTGACCCAGTCCTCATCGAACCAAACTTTTTTTGTACTTTGTGTTAGATCTATCTCATTGACATGTTTTAATATGCCATTTTCGTTCACATAAACTTCTCTCAACCTTCTATAATTAGCTTCATCACTTCTAACATTGTTTTTCGACATGTTTAATTCTTTACCCTGTACCGCTTGTCCCGCGCTTTCTTTTTATCTTATCTGCGTGTCTGTAACTGAATCTTCTGTTACGTCCATCTGTGCTATGATTGGCTTACTGACTTACTTGCGTAGTAGTTCTCCAATTAGGTTGTAGTGTTCTTGCGCGCGTTTTTCCCCTTCTCCTTCCTTTTCTTTCTTGTTATTTCCTAACTTCTTTTTCTTTCCGCTCATCGTCATCCATTCTTCCTGTTCTTGTTGGTCCTCTGCTATGCTCATGTATTTCTTTAAGAAATTTTTCAGTAGCCGCTCTCTTCGGTGCTAAAAGCTCCTTTTTACAATCCATTCTGTCACCCATTCTAATTCTCAACTTTTTATCAGGCTCAATAGCCTTCTATCCTTCCTATAACTTCTTCCTGTCTTGAACACTGATATTAACTGCTCTCCGTCCTCAAAGAGCTTCTCCCCCTTGTTTCTTTTGCTTATATTAGTCGAAGAACTAAACTCCTAAAGTCTCAACTTTTCTAGCTCTAAAAAGAATTGATATTACATTACTATTTTCTTTCGAAAACCCTCTCAACATCAAAAAAGCTTCCGCCCTTCACGCCTACCAATAAGTCACTTTTTACAATATATTTTATATTTACGGTTAGAAAATACTTATTATTTTATATAGATTTCATATATGCACATGTCATATGACATATGCATATACACATGTCAAAAAAGTTTCCGCAACAGATTACTATGTTTGCAAATTAGCTAAATTGTCACAAAAATGCTGGGACTGCGAGCGAAAAAAGGTTCCTATAGTCTATGTCGCGATTCACTTAGTTTATGTCACAGATTTCACTATAACCGTGAGTGTCTCCACACTATTAAAGTTTTTCACGCGTCAACGAAAATCGCGGAACGAAAATCGAGCTGACACAATGACAAGTCTGAGCTGATCACTGTATTAAAACCTTGGAGAAATTGAGAGAATGTTCTCCAAATGAGTTGATCAAAAGGAGAGGCGCGAGATTACAGTTGCACTTGCCGGCCACGTGAACACCACGTGATGAGCATGAATGCAGCGTGATGCTGTATCCTTTCAATATTCGGCAGCACAGTGATCTCGACACTTCAATCCTGATGAGGGCTGATAATAGAGCAGTCTCGGTTGTTCACTCACCAAAATGATGCACGATAGAAAAAAATCAAGAGAGCCGAAATGAGCACAATCTCGAGCGATGAGCGTTACACAAGATAGCCGTAACGAGAGTGATGTAATGGGCGCGCACGGCAAGAGAAGTGCCGGAAGCCATCTTCCGCGCTCATGCATAATGCATGTATTTGCGAAGTGATAATGAGACCCCCGTGCGCAACTTTCTTCGAGAATTTAAACTCATTCTCGAACATTACTACTTACACAGTATTACCAATTCACAGAAATTAAATTGTGTTGTTTAGGGATTTTTGTTATTACCAACATTATCCTCTCTTTTTTTTTTATGGAAATTGTCATTTAATCAGGCATACGCTTTTAACATGAGAAAAGTGAGGGCTAGTGCTTCATACTTATATAGTCAAAGCCTTACACGGTGGAACATAGTGTAACATCAGTGTTTCCTAGTTGGAAAATAGCCATAATCGATTATTCCTCTCTAATTCAACTGTGATTGGTCAATTTCTTATGGTCTTTAAGTCTTAGGTCCGGTTGCACCAACATTATTTTGCTTTTAAGCGAGATTTAAATAAGTATCTGTCTTTATCTTCCTTTTTAAATAAATAAAGACATACATATATTTAAGTCTCGCTGAAAGTGAAAATAACGTTGATGTAACCGGATCTAAATCATTTATTGTAAGCACTAAAAGTCATATCAGACTAGTGGCTGCGGTTGCCAATTAACGATTCTACTCATTGAGCTCTATAGTATATTGGAATGAGTCTTTCCTATACTAAACTATAGAAAACCGCGGCCCAGCGGAAAAAGGGACGGCATACTAAGGTTGGACTTTATTTTTTTCTACTGTGTATTTGGTTAACCTTATGGGAGAAGAATAACATTAACCAATCCTAGAATCTCTTGACAAAGAACTTTGTAGAGAATGATACCAATTCGCATGTTACCTTTTTTAGTGGGTGCATTCGTTTATGCAGTCACTATCGCAGCTCGTTCGTTTACTCCGTCTGCGAAAATGACTGCAGCGCAGTTCGTCTTTCGTTTATGCAGGGATGTATCTCATTTGTCTCAGCTATCTATAAGCTATATATATTCCTTCGACTACCGAGACATGTGATGATATTTATCGCAAATAACGTGTTTAGAATAATACGTCACAATACAATGATACACATATATACATATATTACAATATACATATATACATATATTCTCTCGAATTCCCATGACCGGTACTCCAGAGAGAGATGATAGTTCTATTCTCTCGATGGATGCAGGTCGGACTGTAGCGGCGACACCCTCCAACGCCATTGGCAAATATACAAATAATCCTCCTGGAGCACGACAGGAAAGATTGCATCAAGCATGGCTCAAGCCCCCGAATAAGAAGGGAGGGAGGGAAAGGAGGGTGTACGTCACGGCGGGACCCGATCACGAACCAGTCGTGAAAACTTGTAATTATTAATTATTATTTTGCGAAAAAATACCACCTCAGAAATCGTAACCGCGCAACCGCTAGTCTGATATGGCCTTTAAGTTTATGAACGATATACATCGTCTACAACAGAGAAGTTGAAATTGACCAATCATAGTTGATTTAGAGTCACTCACCAATTCTGGTTCATGTAATCAACCGGTTATTCCATTGGAGTTGACCAATCACAATTTGTTCACAAATTTAACAAATACAATTGGGCAATTTCAATGGAATAACCGATCGATTAATGCTGGATTCAGATCATCGCGATGACGCGACACGCAATGCGCGATATACAATGAGTGTACAACTTTTCCGAGAAAAGTTTATTGGATATCGCGCATCGCGTGCACGTCATCACGCTGAATCTAGCATTACATCTTAAAATTTTATTGTAGACGCCGCTTAAGGGCTATTTTTACTATCTTTAATTAACTTAATTGATCGATTAAATTAACTGGATTATTCTATTGGAATTTATTAATCATATTTGTCATTAAATTTGTGGACAAATTGTGATTCCAATGGATAACCAATTCTAATGGATAACCGGTCAATTAAATTAACCGGATTTGGTGAAAGTTATCCTAATGACCGATTCCATTTTTAATAGATACATGTGTATACTCTTCATTTTTTTCTAATTCTTAGAACTAGAAAAAGATGAGCAAGTTAAACCGAGATTAAAGTAAATCTACGTTGATGAAATCGGGCATAAAAGTGATTTATAAGCCTCTGTAAGCCATTTTCAAAGGTACTTTTATATCAATAAAAGAAAATTCAAAATATAAGCTTTATATTTAATTGACAATGAGAGCAATTAAGTGTCATCCAAATTCAACATAAATGAAAAACGTGCATTGAAAACATAGATATACAAACAAATTTTATAGATATTTCTAAAAAATAAATTAAAACAAACAAAATTATAAAAAAAAACAAAATTATATCGTGTGCAATATTCAAATATAACAACATAAAGAAAAATTTGTGAAAATATATGAAATATAAAAAAATAACATTGCAAATGGATCAAAGTAAGATATTTGGACAATGACAGCGCTATATTAAAAAAGTTTAAAATATTTATTAGAACAACATTCGCGACAATTTCAAATAATTTTTATACAGCATTTCATGATTATAGATTATTTTTAAAAAGCAAATTTAGACTATTCTAAAATAATTTATTATTCTCCTTTATAAAAAAGGAGATGTTAAATCGATACTCACATTTCTCGAAGTTTATTGTTGGCTCTTTTTCGCGATGCCGATTAGTTCTCTCGCTGTGCTAATTTCGTGAATAGCTGTGATTATATTGATCTCACAGAGAATCGTTTGACAATTGTGTATTTCGCAAGAAGTTAAAAATATTATAGTAACAGTAGTATAATAGTATTATATTAATTAAAAGATAAATAGCGCGCGCGCAGCGCGCGTTTGTAATGTCTAGTATTTAT